TAAACTGCCAAACAAAATGTCAAACTCATCCTTGCTTTATGGTCTTCAATCAGGGAGCAAAAGCAAATAGTCAAGGGTTATAAAAACAGGAAGGTTTATAAAAATAATAAAAATATCTGACCTGTCCTGGCCAGTTTGGTTCAGCGGTTAGAGCATCAGTCCGTGGACCAGAGTCCCAGGTTCGGTTCCCGCTAAGGACACATACCTTGGTTGTGGTTTGTCCCTGGCCCTGGTGGGGCTGTGTGGGTGGCGACCACTTGATGTGTCTCTCTCACATCGATGTTTCTCTCTCTCTTCCTCCCTCTTTCCCTCCCACTCTATCTGAAGATAAATGCAAAAATGTCCTCAGGTGAGGATAAAAAAAAAAATCTGACCTAACACAAATGCTGAGGTTTTCAGAGCAGATTCAGTCCATGAACTAGAAATGCACAGAAAGGAGTCTTACTTGTAAGAGTAGGTACTCATGCTCTGACAGGTTTGGCTCAGTGGTCAGAGTGTCGGTCTGGGGACCAACGAGTTGTGGGTTCAATTACCAGTCAAGGACACATGCCTTGGTTGCAGGTTCAATTCCCAGCCCTGGGCTGGGTCATGGGGGCGGCAACCAATGTGTCTCTCTTACGTTGAAGTTTCTCTCTCCCTCCTCTGTCTCCCACCCTTCTTCCCATTCTACCTGGAAAAAAAAACAAAAAACACAACAGGTAAGGATTTAAAACAAAAAAGAGCAGGCACTCAGGCCACAGCACCTAAGAGCACTCTGTGAAGCAAAGCGCAGGCACTCCGGTACTAAGCTGGCATCGGGCGGTATGAACCTTTCAGTCCAGATTCCAGGCAAGTTTCCTGAGTTACCTGAACGACGACAAAGTGTACACATATTGCTGGGGATGGGGAGACTAAGAGGTGTCCCAAGGACTCTGCCAGGCTCTATCTGCATAAGGCCGAGGCGAGACCTGTGAGCCAACATGGATTCTGTGCAGCCGGCACAATCAACTCTGAGACCTAAGGGAGAAGGAATCTCTGAAGGAACTACTGAAGGCAGGTCTGACCAGAGGCCTCCCAGCTTCTCTTCTCACCCTTCCCCATCGCCTGCCCTCAAAAGATTGCCTCACTTGCGACCTGGGATAACTGGCTAAATGTTCCTTCCATTTCCAGACTGAACATTCTAACTCAAACCTCAAAGGTCCCTCATCCCTCTTCACTCCTTTCCACGCAACCCAAAGGATTTGTAGTCTAGGAAACCAAAGAATAGTTTCATCAATAAATCAATTTATTTAAAAGAATATGTTACAATTAATTACACTAAGTGACATTACCAAACAATTTTAGAGTGGTTAGCTCTAGAACAAGGAATGAAAGAAACACTGTTAGCCATTATGTGTCTATTTTCTCTTCACATTTCTTAAATCACAAATAAAAAATACAAGATACTGCAGTGAAAATACAATTAGAGTTTCTCTCAAATAAATTAAAAGTGTACATGGCCTGGGGAAAACTGAAGCCCAGCTCACTGGCTTAAAAAGGGGGCATGATAGAAAACTGGTGTCCAACTTTAGCAATTGGTCAAGTGCCTCGACCCTGTATCACTCCCCTCTCGGATTCCAATCTCCCCCTGAGCCCTAAGCTTCCCACACACCTGAGATTATTGCTGAGGAGAGAGCTGATGTTGTCCTGGTGTGAGTGAGGCCTGGCACGATGTGCTCAGTTTTCGGAGAAGGAAGACAGGAGGTGGGATTGGACGATGAGGTGCTAAAGCACACCCATTGCCTCTATTCTCTCTCTCTCTCTCTCTCTCTCTCAGTATTCAACCACATCCTCCTTCCTCCAAAAGGAAGCTAATGTGACACAATGAATCTGGTGCAATAACCTAGCAGCATGTTGGGAGTCCAACAGACCAAATGGTTTCTACTGCTACTTCAGTCCAGCTAGCGCATGATGGAGAGAAGGGAGGGCACAACAGTCCCTCCAGGACTGGGGACTTGAGATCAACCAGGATGCAGTCCCTTTTAAGAAAACTGCCTCCTAGGAGCCAGACCCATAGCTGGCAAATTCTGAGATGAGAGAGAGGTGTCGCCTCCTGTCAATGCCCTATATTGCTGCTCCAAGCATTGGGTCAGGGACTACAAAAGGGGATAACCCAAAGCTACTGGCCTGGGTAATTAAAGGATGAAACCAGATGGGCCAGGCATGGAGATGTTGGACATTTATCTAATTCCTCCCTGAGAGCTCTGTCCAGGCCTAGGAGTTGCCCTGAGCACTCACCTGTGCTGAGCTTAGGCCTAGGGCAAGGGGAGGGCAGAAAAATGGAGAGCAGAATATAAAGAGCAGAGAGCCCAAAGCATGGCCCAAGGGGACCTTTCTGCAGGGACAGGCTTCTCAGGGCCTGCGTTTTCTCCTGATCCATAAAAAAAAAAAAAAATCAGGGCTTTTACCAAAGAGGATAGAAATTGAGTGTGGAGAAGGGGAAGTCAGTAAGAGACCGGGAAACTCCTGCTGGCTCTGCTGGGGCAAGGCAGGGGGAAAGGGGCGCCATTCCATTCCCCAGAGACAAACTGCAAAGAAGCCTCCCTGAACAGAACCCAGGACTAACAAAGGTAGCAGGGACTAGAAAGGAAATGCAGAGATGGGGGGAAAGAAGTGTCACACTAACACTGCGTCATGCAAAGAAGGCGGGATCCTCTGGAGCTCCACAGACACACTGGCCTCGCCTCCAATGCCCGGCCTGCTGTGGGTAGAAGAGTGGAAGGTGCTATTCCCTGGGGCCTCCCCTTACCGTGCTGCAGCTGGGTGTTTTGTTGGTGGTACAGCCTCAAGTAGTGGTTGTTCCTACACAGATTCTGCCAACAGACAACCTACTTATGGGGCCTCCACCCAATCTCCAAAGCACCAAGTGAATTCTGTCAGAAAGGGGGCAGAGCAGCATCTATGCATGCTAAGGGGCCTCCATCCAAAGGGCATCCCCACTACATCTCGTATCCAGAGGTCAGCGCCTGGGCTATAATGTGGCCTCCTGGATTTGTTCGTGCCTAGCCCACTCTGAGGGAACAGGGGCAAACTGCTGCTATTTTTTATAGTTGGAACAAAGCTGGTGTCAAAGTCTCTTTAGCATCTTGGAGTGGAAAATCAACATATCTTTCCAGGGTCCTTTGGCTCATTATTAAATTCATTTCAGCCAAAATAAATTACTCCTGTGTCAAAGCCTTGAAATCAGGGATCACGCTCTGCAACTTGAAATACTTAGCATTCCTACATTTTGCACTGTGATTCCACCTGGGTTTGGAGTAGGGGAGAAAAGACAGGACATCCTATATGATCCTACACACTCCCCTGGCAAACAGCTGCCAGGATAACAAAGTGAGAAAAAAAGAGGCCTCATGATGATCTGCAAAAACAAGTTACAAAAAAAGAAACTTCAAACCACCCCAACACTGCTCAGTGGAGTTGATGACAACCAACTATGGTTGCCTCCCAGTTAGACAAAGTAAAGGATGCCACCCTGTGGAGGTTTTTGTTTAGAAGGTGGAGAAGGGAAAAGAAAAGAAGGCTCAAAGATGTGTTTCAGTTGCATAGAGCCTGACTTAGAGGTCCGAGGGCACTATCTGAATACATAGCCGGGGGCGGAGATGCTGCCCTACTCCAGTCAGCCCTGGCCCCTATCCTGGGATATACTATGCTCTTAGGTCTCAGAAGTTCTAACTGCAAGGTCAGATTAGGAGCTCTTTAAGGGACAAAAAGGTTTTCTTTCTGTCTCCTTTTAATTAGAAGTTGAAATCCAACCCAAATCAACCATATTCCTACTACTCCTTCTTGGGTCCTCAGAGGGCTTGGACAGGCTGTGGCTTGGTTGGCACAGACCACTGACACATGCCAAGTTTCCCCAAGGCCTTGGGGATACTGTCAGATCCCTCCCACACAGCTGTTTAAGGAAGTCACAGAGAATGTAATAGTTATTGGTCACGAATCTAGTAGGGAAAAGCTTATGTACAGCTTATGTACATAGGGTACTTCTTCCTTCCTTTCCCTACCTAAGTCCAATCTTTGTGCCTAAAGGTATCAGCTTTAACTCTGGTCCCTAGTACTACCCCCCGCTTCAGAAAAGGCAGGGAAATGGGAAATTAAAACCATGAAGTGTTTCGGGTTCCTGTGACATTAACCTCCTGAGCCCACCCTCCCCCCATTCTAGGCCAGTTGAGGGAAAGTGTACAGGGGACCAACGGGAGCAGGAAGATGTGGAATGTGGCTAGAAAGCCATGAATGGGAGAGAGAGATGGACCAGGAAAAATGTCTTGGAATTAAGAGACCACATCAAGTCTGTAGACCCCTGCAGCCTTGCTGCCCTCTGGGGACATGCCCCTCCCCCCTCCACAACAGCTTCTTGGAAGAAAAAGAAACTTTGCTCCTTGCTCCTCAGACTCTACAATAAAACCATGAGCCAGAATCTTCACTCAATACAAAAAAGGGGGCAAAAAAACCCAAGCAGGTTGTAAACTTTTCGAGTCCTTCATGAGGAGAGGTATTTTCCCTGTAAAATTTTTTTTTCCTTTTAAAAGTTTGTTTCAAAATAAAGAGAGCAAGAGAGAAGTCATGAATTCTAGTGAAAGGTGTGTAAAAACACAAGCTAAAAAAGGTACTGCCATCAATATGAAATTTAAAAAGAAATATATATATGTATATACGTGCAGCTAATTCGTGTATATATAATTTTTACATACATACATATATATGTCTGAACAGTGCAAATGGATGGAGTTCATAGTTCCAGTTTTAAAAATATAGTACACGGAGAGTCTGTTGGTACGAGGCCCGGGTGAAAGGACAAAGATACCTTTGGCGAGTTGGTTGGGCTTATTTCTTTTCCTATCTTAACTCAGTTGACTCCTGGTACGGACCAATCTGTAGTTTTCTACTGGCTCAATTCCAGAAATAAGAAATTCAGAAGGATTATTAATAATATTTAGTTTAGGGCTTTTGAATATAATGACTTTTTTCCTTTTCCTCTTCTTTTGTGTTAATGGTTACTCTGCCTGACATGGGAGACAAAGGGGATAAGACGATGAAGGTGAAGAGAAGGGAAGGGATAAGAAAAGGCTAGGTGGCCACATCCCTCTGCTGTGACCTCACCATCTGGAAAATGTTCTGAAAGAAAAAAAAAAGGAAAGAGTTACTGGGAAGCCTTAGATGTCTACATCTCCTCCCATCTGGAGACAACCGTTCAAACAGAAATCAGAAAATATACAACTGGATGACTCAAGCTGAATGGCTTCTTCCCCCAATGTAACTTCCCATCTAGAACCACAGACTTTTAGAGCTGGAAAGGACCTCGGCTATTAATTATCTGGCTCAGCCTTTCCATTTTACACGTGAGAAAAGATGAGAAAACTGGACTCTAAGGAGACTGATTTGCCTGAAATCACAGAGAAAAAGCCAGGGGGGAACCCAGATCTGGTGCCCAAAGCCCAATGTTCTTTCTACTATACCAAGAATATACATTTTCATGTTCCTGACTCTTCTGCTGAACCTCAGAAACACTTTTGTGAGACTAAGTAGTTAATTATTCAGCATCTTCCTAATTCTCCTTCAGCACTGGCATATTCAGACAGCAGTAAAGCAGGAGCAAAGACCTGCCCACACATACGCAGTCTTGGTTGGCCTAGACAAGGTGGCTACAACTGCGTACCCTTCTGGGTCAGGAACAGCATGATGGAGAGTAATTTGATAGAAACAGGCAGAGGAGGGTCCATGAAGTCATGATAGACAGGGTAGCCTGCAGCCAATGGCCATCCTCCAGACAAGGGAAGAAGCAGGGCTTTTTACAGTCTGCCCAGCATCCAAAGGCTATCCTCTCTGGAAGAGTACCCTGGCTCACATGGGATCACCAGCCTAACAGTTCCAGAAAGATGGAGATGGAGGTAAGGCTACCAGGTATTTGGCCATAGGCCTATACATTTTAAACAAACAAAGATGAAATAAACTATTCAAGATTGTTTAGAGTTACCTCTTTTCTCCACTTGAGCTCACAGAACACCCTCTCGAAGCATTCATGCATGTAATTGAACTGAAAAAAAAAACAACAACAACAACATAGCAACACTCACTGACTTCTCAGGACCAGGTATCATAGGGCCTTGCCTTTGAACTTCTGCTCCCAGTCACCTCACCTTCCAAACTTGCTCAGCCTAGACAAAAATCCTGACCAGTCCCATGAAACCTAGGCCTGGCTCATCTACTATTCTCTGGCTCCTTCTAGTGGTAACTGTGAATCAAGCCGGAAGTGAAATTGCCAATCCTAGTTGGGCCTGAAGGAAAGACAGGAGAACCTGGGGCTCTAGAATTCAAACAGGTTCAGATCTCAAGACCATGGCTATCTCTACAGCTGTCTCTACTTAAGCATTTAGTTTAAGGAGAACATTAAGCCCAATCTACTTGCCCCAAGCATGCTTCCCCATCTACCACTCACATATGGTGTGAAGATTTTAACCCATCGAGGCTTCTTCTCTCCTCGCGCATATTCAAAACAGAAGGCCATTCCTTCTTCATCTGTATCCCATCGCTGCATCTCATCCCATTCAAATGCTATTACCTGGTTCTAAACAACCGGAAACAAGAATGTAAGTTTGAGAATGCTGGGAGCTTAATTAGAGGGTTCTGAACCAGGCAGCAGAAGAGAAATGGATAGAGATGTCTGCATCATTTCAGGGAAAACACTGACAGAAGAATAAAAGTCAGTGTAACACATGAAGGTATGGATTAGTGTGAATCCAGTGCCTATTTATCTACCCCAGCCCAAACAGTTTTGACGTCACACCACCACCACCACCCAGAAGGAACTAAAACACAAGTGAGTATCCAAGTACCACCAGTGTTCCTAGCCCCAACCCCATGCGGAACTCTCACCTCCAGCTGTCCTTCTTCAGTGCAAGCATGAAGTTTAAAGTGCGTGATGCTGATGGCTGTGATAACGTGCCCCTTCCTCCTGGAGTCACAGGCACAGTGGGGGAAGATGATTTCATTGTAACCCTCACAAGTTCTTAGCATGTTGAGGTACTAGGGGGGGAAAAAAGGAAAAATGTTACTATGGAACTAAACCACCATGAAGAGCTACTGAGATGGCACAGAACATAGAGAATCCTCTTATCCAACAACCTGAAGACCTTGCCTCTGGCCTCACACCCATCCCTAAATTGGAACAGGATTCCAAGACAATTCTTTATCCCACTTCCAACCTCCAATCTTTCTCTACTTAAAAAACCCGGCTGGGCCCTGGCCAGTTTGGCTCAGCGGTTGGAGCGTCAGCCTGCGGTACAGAGAGACCCGGGTTCGGTTCCCGCTAAGGGCACGTACCTCGGTTGCAGTCTGTCCCCGGCTCTGGTTGGTTGTGCGGGTGGCAGCCACTCTATGTGTCCCTTCATGTCGATGTTTCTCTCTCTCTCTCTTCACCCCGGCTGGAGTGACTCAGTGGTTGAGCGTCAACCCATGCACCAAGAGATCACCGGTTCAATTTCTGGTCAGGGCACATGCCCAGGTTATAGGCCAAATCCCCATTAGGGGGCATGCAGGAGTTGGCCAATCGATGTTCTATCTCATTGATATTTCTACCTCTCTCTCCCTCTCCCTTTCTCTCTCTCTAAAACCAATAAAACAAAACAAAACAGATATACAAATAAGGCCAGAAGAGACACTGTAACCAAAACTGCTAGGACTAGAAGGGAACTCACAATGCCACTCCGACTCTCTATTTCTACTGTACCTTAGGGATGGGAATCAAATCTATCCTTCTAATTAAGGAAAGAGGGCTAATGTTTCCATCTCTTCTCCAATCAAAAGTTATAATGATCTGTCCTGGCCGGTTTGGCTCAGCGGTGAGAGTGTTGGCCCATAGACCAGAGAGTCCCGGGTTCGGTTCCCACTAAGGGCATGTACCTTAGTTGCAGTTTGTTCCTGGCCCCCGTTGGGGTCGTGTGGGTGGCAACCAGTTGATGTGTCTCTCTCACATCAATGTTTCTCTCTCTCTACCTCCTTCTCTCCCTCCTGCTCTATCTGAAGATAAATGCAAAAATGTCCTCGGTGAGAAAAAAAAAAAAAAAAAAAAAATATATATATATATATATATATGTATAAATTTTAAAAATAAAAAAAGTTATATGATCTGCCCGGCCAGTGTGGCTCAGTGGTTGAGCATAGACCCATGCACCAAGAGGTCACCGGTTCGATTCCCGATCAGGGTTGTGGGCCCAATTCCCAGTGGGAGGCATGTAGGAGGTGGCCAAATGATGTTCTCTCTCATTGATGTTTCTATCTCTTTCTCCTTTCCTCTCTTTCTAAAAATCAATAAAGAAAAAAAAAGGTATAATGATCTTGATGATGATGATTAAGCTATCTGAGACTTAAAAACTAATCATTTTAGCCCAGCCAGTGTGGCTCAGTGGATTCAGTGTCATCATGGATTGAGAGGTCCCAGTTTGATTACCGGTCACGGCACATGCCTGGGTTTTGGGCTCAATCCCCAGTAGAGGGCTTGCAGAAGACAGCTGATGGGTATTTCTCTCTCTCTCCCTTCCTCTCTCTCGAAAATATCAAAAAACATATTTAAGAAAATCTAGTCATTTTACAGAACCCAGGGTAATATGAGACTTGCTTAATGCCACAGGTACTAAGAAGTGGTAAGTAAAGTTTATTTTCTTGGTCACTAATTTTTTCTCTATCACCAACTAGTCCCCAAATCAGCCCCACGATCCCTTGGGTCTCCTTAAAGAGCATCTAGACCAAAAAAACAAGTGACACATATGATCCACACAGGTACAATGCTACAAGCCTAATCCAGAGAGGTCTCTGAACTACTGACTAACTTAACTCTGTCCTTTCTCCTCTACAATTAAGGCTGGCCTCTCTTTCACTCAACTCACTAGTTTGAGATAAGAGAAGAGAGAGTAAAAGAAGACAAGTGGGAAGGAGAGTAGAAGAGAAATAGGGAAAAGATGATTAAAAAAAGACTCATGGACTCTGCCCTGGTTTCCTCTAGGGACTGCCTGGGAAACAAGCAAAGAGTCTTGCATATCACACAGGAAGAACAGGGAACACTGGTGATGTGTGTGGAGTGTTGGAGAGAAGACAAAGGCACAACACCCTAATAGATTTTAATTAGATGGGCAGGGAGACTAGAATTCACCAGAGAGTTGCCTTAGGCCTTACCAAGAGAGAAGAGAAGAAGGGACAGAGGCACCAAAAGGACCCTAGGCAATCTATGGCTCTGGTACCAATGAATGGCACCTAAGACAGCTGCTACTGACACCAGAGACTGTCTGGGAAAACTAAAGGCCCAGGGAAAAAATTACTCCCTTTCCTACTTTCTATTTAGTTCTGCTTAGGTAAAATAATAGCAACTTCAAAGGGGGAAATTATTTTATTATTATTATTTTTTTATCCTTACCCGAAGACATTTTTGCATTTATCTTCAGATAGAGCAGGAGGGAGAGAGAGGGAAGATAAAGAGAGAGAGAGAGAGAGAGAAACATTGATGTGACAGAGACACATCGACTGGTTGCCACCCACATGACCCCAACCAGGGCCGGGACAAACTGCAACCAAGGTACGTGCCCTTAGCGGCAACCGAACCCAGGACTCTTTTGGTCTGCGGGTCAATGCTCTAAATGCTGAGCCAAACTGGCCAGGGCTTATTATTATTATTTTTAATTCTCACCTGAGGATATGTTTTTATTGGTTTTAAAGGATCAAATCCACAACCTAGGCATGTGCCCTGACTGAGAATCAAACCCACACTCCAACCAACTGAGCCACATTGGCCAGGGCCGAAGGGAAAAAAAATTATAAAAGGGTAGCAAGAACACAGGGGTAGGGGTCAATTCAGAAGTGCCACAATACTTTAGTTGCATCATTTTTCTTCTCTCATTTCTCCTTCCACCACCCTATTCCATTCCCCTTTATCACCTCCTTCTTGTGTCAGTGATCTGTGGATACGGCTTAGCCCTGCTATTGACACTATGAACAGAAAGAAATCCCTGGACACTATACTTTGGTAAATATGACGGGCAGTGTCATAGAAGAGAACTCTTCTAAGGTAATAAGAAGCAAAGATTGGGACAGGAAGCAGTACAGAGGGTTAATCAAGAGCCTGGCCTTAAATCCTGTCCCTATCACTTCCTGTTGGGCAAGATACTTTTAATTCAAGCAAATTACTAAAATCCCAGGAGCCTTGGTTTCATCTTCTGTAAAAAGGGAATAATAGACCTACATCACAATTATTTGCAAGCATTACAGTCTCTAGCACAGCATTTAGTGCATAATTAGGTATCCAATAAATGATAGCTTAAAAAATAAATTTTTTTTTTTTATCCTCACCCGAGGACATTTTTCCATTTTTTGTTCAGGTAGAGTGGGAGGGAGAGAGAGGAACAGAGAGAGAGAGAGAAACATCGATGTGAAAGGGACACATCGAGTGGCTGCCACCCGCACAACCGACAAGGGCCGGGGACAAACTGCAACCGGGGTACGCACCCTTAGCGGGAACCGAACCCGGGTCTCTCAGGACCGCAGGCCGACGCTCTAACCGCTGAGCCAAACCGGCCAGGGCTTAAAAAATAATTTTAAGGACTCTATTATCCTTAGTCAAGGGACTCAACTATTTTCGCTCTCAAGAATGCCCTGTGACCCCAAGCAGAGGACCCTAGGGCCAGGTGCTCCCTCTCACATTTTGCACAGCTAGCTTCCAGGCCTATTTGCTGTGTTGATAGCAATTGACCTGGGCTTAGTGGGGAAGGAGTTCTGTCTTCATACCACAACCCAGCCCAAAGCCAGGGATCCACCATTTGTAGTTTTTAACAACTAAGCATTTCTTTTCTGTACAAAATCCAATAAAAAAAATTCCTATGACTTGCACCTTAAAAAAAAAAGAATGCCCTGAGAAATTATATATATGGAAATTACTTTTAAAAACTCCAGGGGAGCCCTGGCCAGTTTGGCTCAGCGGTTGGAACATCGGCCTATGGTCCAGAGAGACCCAGGTTCGGTTCCTGCTAAGGGCACGTACCTCAGTTGCAGTTTGTCCCCAGCTCTGGTTGGGTCGTGCGGGTGGCAACCACTTGATGTGTCCCTTTCACGTTGATGTTTCTCTCTCTCTCTGTTCCTCTCTCTCCCTCCCGCTCTATCTGAACAAAGAATGGAAAAATGTCCTCCGGTGAGGATAAAAAAATAAAACTCCAGGAGAAAAAAGTACAAGTGAGACAGATGAAACCCAAATGGCAGAAAGTTGAATGCTGCTAAAGCTGGGTAATGGGTACATGGAGGCTAAATATACTATTCTTTCAACTTCTTTATATATTTGAAAATTTTACAATAAAATGTTAGAAGAAAAAAGAAAACTGCCCTGCAATCAGGCCTGCAGCACTCAATTCAAGTCATCCTCCTAAAACAGTCATCAAAAACTTTCCGCATGCTCAATAAGCAGCAAATTCTGCTCAAAGATGCTGAAGAACCCTGCAATGCCAGAAGGCGTTACACAGCCTTGAGATTAGTTCTGTGCATGTACTTCAACAAAAATGGCTTACACATAACACATTTGCTGAGAGTTCTCTTCTTTGAGAGGCAACAGTACTACTATAAAAAATGTTTCTGCCATATATCTGAGAGTTTTACTATATAGATTTTTTTCACAGGGAGAAATATGCAGACAAAGGGAGAAATTAGGAAAAGACATGGGAAGAGATGAAGAGCTCTGCGTATCCTGAACAATCTGTGACCTTGCATAAGTTACTTTACTCAGGGGCTTCCCCTCTGCCATCTGAGAATAAAGGACACTGCTTCCACCCTCTTTTCTCTGATGTAGAGAAAACATGCTTTGGAGCCAGACAGAAATGGGTTCAAATCCTAGTTCTACTTCTAACAAGCTTTATGATCTTGGGTAATAATCTTCCTCTCTCAGACTCCACCCCTCCTCTGCAAAGTGGGGGATAACACCTGTATGGTTGTTGTAAGGAGGAAATAAGAATGCACACATAGTATCCAGAACAGTACCAGACACATATATGTGCCCCTCTATCCCCTTTGAATCAAAAAGCTGATTTATATCTCTATATTCAGAAATGTAATCCTTGAAAACAAAGGACCTCCAGGGGACTTCCTAATGACATCGTTCTAAAAATAACCTGAGTGGAAACTAAGGACATCTGTGGCTTTGGTGAGAAGACAGAAGTAAAGGGCCATCGGGGAAACTTAAGGTTTTCAAGATTCTCGGGTCAGGTAGCATTTCTCAACTGTAAATGGGTGATCTCTACATTCCTGGACTTGCACAAAGCATAAAGAGGTACCAGGTTTTATACACATCCAAAATTTCCAAAAGTAAAGTGCATTTTTGTTTTCAAACAGATTTACATAAGAGTGTAAGTTATATATTTAAAACACAGTATTTTCTTGTCCATTCTCTTTTCATATTAAATTTTGAGTACATATGCACCCTAAATTGCCTTCCTTGATTCACATACCACTCAGATGATGGTCCACATTAGACCAGAGAAAAGAAAAGGTATAGCTCAGAACACTTTGTGAATGTTCAATATTTAGCAAGGTAGGTAAATCAGAAACAGGACACATTAAAGCAGAGACTCAGTACTTAACAGAGCAGAACACTTTAGGTGAGTGGGTTGAGGTCCATTCTGAAGAACTATCTGTTCTCCCAAACAACTTGCCAAGGGTCAAACCAGGTCTAATATTGAAGTAAGGGCTTGCGAGGCACCTTGGGAGCCAACTCTCTCAAACCCCTAGAGTAGTGATTCTGAAGCAACTTAAGTTTCAGAATCACTCGGGTGCTTCTGTAAAAACCTTATTGAAAATTCCTAGATCCTACCACCCACAGAGATTCTGGCTTAGTAAATATGAGATGGGATCCAGATATCTACATTGTGAACAGGCTTTACAGGGGATTCCCATGAAATTGAACTGGGGACCATACTATGAGAAACACTGACTTTAACATTTACTGCTTTGTGTGAAATCACTATAAATTATGTTGAGAAACACTAACAGAAATTTCTTATTTGTCAGTTCAACAATGGCAAAATCAGGCGACTTCGACATAAGGAAAACTTAAGTTCCAAATGTCTGCTGCTTGTGTGAGAGTAAAAAAAGAAAAAAGAAAGACAAAATATCTCTTGCACATTACATTCTCAACCATCCAAATTTAAGATTCAATCTAATTTTGTAAGTAGAAAACAAAAACATTTTTGAGCCCTAGACAGTTTGGCTCAGCAGTTACGAATGCAGGGTCTTGGGTTTGCTTCCTGGTCAAGGAACCTACCTGGGTTGTAGGTTTAATCCCTGATCCCAGCGGGTATGAGAGGCAACCAATCGATGTGTGTCTCTCACCTCTCTCTCCCTCTCTTTCCCTCTCTCCTTCCCTCCTATTCCATCTGAAAATCAATGGGAAAAAATCCTCAGGTGAAGATTAACAAAGAAACAAAAAAAAAAACATTTTTTTTTTTATCACATTTGGGTTACAAACTATGGCAAAGATACAAACTGTCTTTTGTATTTAGAGAACAAGGCAAGTTCACAAAACTTAATTTATCTATCAAGAACTCTGGAGTATTTTTTTAAGATTCTCCTTGACAGCTGGCAATCTGAACATCTATTTTATAGGAAAAAAACTAGAACTGAAAAATTTGTTGAAGTTCTCACAGTGATATGGCAACTAATCATAGTGATATGACCTAATCTTAGGCCTATCAAGCATACAAAGTTGCTATAGATAATGGTATCAAGACCTATGGGCTCTGAAGGATTCATCTGTTTCATTGTACTGACCATGACTACTGACTAAAAGCTAATGTCTTTGAACACTATCATTTGAATACATGAAATCATATTTAAGTATGATTTGATGGATTTTCTTTAAAATCTGATTGTAGTATTATGGGGCTAGTACACACTTGTATGTTGGCAGTAGGTTTATAAGAGAAAAGAATTCCATAAATGTTTAAGCATATTTTATACTCAATTCCAATGACCCACAGGAAAACACATCAATGTACCAAGTGCATTTATATTCTTAGCTGGGTGATTACAAGATGCAAACTTGAGTTTGAAAATGATTTCATAATAGATTACTAGGCTTGTTAAATTCAGATTTTCTATATTTTGCCACAGAACAACCCCAGCCTATTTATTTATCTAGCACCTAGTACTGTGCCTGGCACACAGTCAGTATTCAACAAATACTTTCGGCTAAACGCATAAATGTGTTTGGATGCAAAAAAAAAAAAAAAAAATGATGCATTCCACAGTGGTATTATCAGAGGCCCTTATGAAATTATTTTGATTGTTTGGAAAAGGCAAAGAACTATTGCAGAGGTTGATGGTCTTTTAGTATTTGGCCCTTTTTACCAAAACGATGCAGATGTGTTGGTCAGAATTACACATTAATATGTAAAAGACAATGCCATTATCTTAAAGAACAGGAAGGTGAGTTTTAAAACCCTGTCTCTCACATATTAAAATTCCATGAAAAATTCTGCTAATTATATAGACTTAATCTTACTTAAAACATTTTTTGTTGCCTATTTCAGCCTACTGGTATGTACAACATTCGTAGATGGTTCCCTGATCTTTGGCAATTTACTTTTCATCATGTAAGTGATAAAATAACTATCCCAGCTAGATAAGATTACGGGCTAAGTTTGATAGCTGATTTGTATATTCTTATTCCAACCCAATTAATTTAGATGGATGAACATTACCTCATAGAAAGTATACAGAAGGTACAAAGAAATTCAAGTGATGTATAAGAATAATTACCAATGCAATTACTGCCTTATGTGGAGTCATGAAAAATTATAATTGGAAAAATTTCAAATATATGTGAATTTGCTAAGAAAGAAAATTTAAAATTCTATGAGAAGTTTTACAAGTGTTCATAACAAACGTCATTTTTGACAACTTCCATCCTTGTATTTATGGCAGATACAAATTAAAAACTAATTTTAAAACATTTAAGGAATATTCTAGGAAGCCCTCTCCATAATAACTTTCTGTGATGATAAAAATGTTCTGATAGCCCAGCCAGTGTGGCTCAGTGGTTGAGCATTGAGCCATGCACCGAGAGGTCGCCAGTTCTATTCCCAGTCAGGAAACATGCCCAGGTTGTAGGCCCAATCCCAGTGGGGGTCATGCAGGAGGCAGCTAGTCAATGTTCTCTTTCATTGATGTTTCTATTTCTCTCTCCCTTTCTCTCTAAAATCAATACAGTCGGCCCTTGTTTGTTGCAGTTAATCACTTCCGGACTCTACCGAGATAAATGAATTTCCGCGAAGTAGGATTCTTTATATACAGTTGTCCCTCAACACTTCGGGCTTCGACTTTTGCGGCTTCATTCTACTGCGTTTTTCTCAAATATAGTATAGTATTTTAAAAAACCGCGATTGAGCGAAGCCACGAAAGTGGAAGTCACGAAAGTCAGAGCACATAGTGGTGAGGGATGACTGTAAACAAAAAAAAAATGTTCTGGAGACAAATCACAGAACTTATATGCATGTATGCATAACCAATGGACATGGACAACAAAGCTGGGGTCAGAGTGGGGGGGATGCAGAGGAGGGTGTCAATGGGGTAAAAAAGGAGAAACATCTGTAACAAAAAAAATGTTCTGGTAGCCTGGCCAGTGTGGTTCAGTGGATTGAGTGTCATCCTATGGACTGAGAGGTCCTGGTTCAATTCCCAGTCAAGCCACATGCCTGGGTTGCGGACTTGATCCCCAGTGGGGGGCATGCAGGAAGAAGGCAATGGATGTTTCTCTCTGACATCAATGTTTCTCTCTCTCTCGGAAAAATCAATAAAAACATATTTTTTAAAATGTGCCCTGACCGGCAATTGAACCAGCGACCTAGTGCATGGGTCAATGCTCACCACTGAGCTACACCAGCCGGGCATGCCCTCTTTTTTTAATTAGCTAAGCTATTGACCAGCTGCAACATCTTTCAAAAATGACTGCAACAACAGGCTTAAAAGATAAGAAGAGGCATTTTATAAAGAGAGTAAACCTACCATGACCATTTTCCTTTGTTCATATAGCTTCTGTAATTGGTAAGACTTTTCCTCTGCTTTGATGTAACCTTTTTTCACATCATCGACAGCCTGTCACCAAAACAAAGGCAGGGAAGAAAGAAATGTAAAAATCACTATCAAGTACATTCTTGATAAAAATAGAGACACAGATTCATTTTCAAAGAAACTCTTATCCATATGGACATTCATCATCACCGGTGATGTATCTGAGCTGTCCAATACAATAGCTACTAGCCACATGTGGCTACTCTACAACTTGAAATGTCATTTACCAATATGCACTTAAGTAAGTCACTTAAACCCTCTCAGTCTATAAATCAGGAATAATATTCATCTCATAGGTAGACAACAAAATGAGATAACAGATTTTAAGAGTTTCGTATAGATAAATAGTTACTATTATCATTGCTACGAACATCATTTAGCTGTTAAGTTCTAAGAACCATACATGGATATTAATGTCCTCCCTGGGACTGCCTAATGAAAAGATTATGCCCATTCCCTCCATACAAATGAGGGCTCACTTAGGCACAGAGGAGATGCTCAGTAAGAACGGCCACACATGTCCTGAAGGACCGGAACACTTATTTTTTTGTTTTTAATCTTCACCCGAGGTTATTTTTCTATTTATCTTCAGATAGAGTGGGAGGGAGAGAGAGGGAGAGAAAGGGAAAGAAAGAGAAACATCATCGTGAGAAGGACACATCGATGGGTTGCCTCTGCACGAACCCGATCAGGGCCGGGGAGAAAATGCAAGTGAGGTATGTGCCCTTGGTTGGAATTGAACCCATGACTCATTGGTCTGTGGGCCTATGCTCTACCACTGAGCCAAACCAGCCAGGGCTAAATACTTGTTCTTTTTTATCCTCACCCCAAGACATTTTTCCATTTTTTGTTCAGGTAGAGTGGGAGGAAGAGAGAGAGAGAAACATCGATGTGAAAGGGACACATCAAGTGGCTGCCACCCGCACGACCAACCAGGGCTGGGGACAAACTGCAGCCGAGGTACGTACCCTTAGTGGGAACCGAACCTGGGACTCTCTGGACCGCAGGTCGACGCTCTAACCGCTGAGCCAAACCAGCCAGGGCAACACTTGTTTTTTTAAATCATCAAGAGACTTGACTGCTCTAGGCCAAATAAAACCAATTACTGGAAAGTTGAGAGCTAAGAGGGGAAACAAACAAATAAATACTGGTCTAACTAATTCCTTTCCCATGTAACAAAGTGTTATTTAGCTAAGGGAAAGGCTTTTCTGACGATCAAATAACAATACTGTATTTGTTTTATTCATATCCCCAATACCTAGAACTATGTCTAACTTGGAATAGCACTTAAATATTTGAACATTTCCCCAGGGCAGAAAGTGGATCAGAGTGAACATCTATTCCAGCAACTTTAAGTGAAATATTTTCATACAGGGCAGCAAAAATGTTCTCTCCTCTCTTCTCTCATTTCTAATCAAGATTATATATCTTGAAGGCATAGAGGGGAGAAATGGTAATGGGGAAAAAAAGGTTCCATTGCTTGACTAGCCCATGTGACTCTCACCAACTCTTCCACAATAACCAAACTCCAAACTCCTCTCAATTCATGCAAACATTCATTTTGTAAAAACTGTTGACAGTTCTCATCTGCTGTCTCCTCTCCTATTCTTTGTCCTGGCAGGTATACGCCTTTAAAATTCCATTACTATTATTTTAGCAAGCTTTCAGGAAGGTGTAGCTTAAAAGTGTGTTCAATCTGCTAGGTTTAACCAGAATTTAAATGTATCCTACCATAAATTTCGACCTTATTCATTTTTTTAAGGAAAAGGCTTATTATCATTTTGATCTAATATTTCATCAACTCTATGGTGCACATTTTTTCATATTTTATCATCTCTAAAATTGGGATGCATCTTATAATCAATGATGTGTCCATTTAATTGGTAGCTCTTTTCTCTTTTTTAGCAGCACATAAAACAATAGTATATCTTATAATCAATGGCATCTTGGAATTGATGAAATAATTAGATACATTAGATCTTCCCATGAAAAGATGATACAAAAAGAAACTAAAATTAAGTAAGGAAAACAATAATATCATTTTCCAAATGGCACAAAAGTTTACCTAGTCAAGCAAAACATCATTTGAACCCTTCTGCCCTACTGGGAATGTAAAATAGTGTAGCTGCTATGGAAAACAGCATAGCAGTTCTCCAAAAATTATAAACAGAATTACCATATGAACCAGCAATCCCAATTCTGGGTATATTAAAAGCAGGATTAAAGAGATATTTACACACCCATGTTCATAACAGCATTATTCATAATAGCAAAGAGGTAGGAAAAAAACCAATGTCCATCCACAGATGACTAGATAAACAAAATGAGGCATACACATACAATGAAATATTATTTTGCCTTAAAAAGGAAGAAAATTCTGTTGGTTATTATAACATGAATGAGCCTTGAGGATATTATGCTAAGTGAAATAAGCCAGTCACAAAAAGATAAATACTGGATGATTCCACTTACATGATCAGAAAACAGATCTCAGCAAAGCTATGCTAAGACTACACCCTATTGTTGAGCCTGTACTTGAACCAAATATTCTGACTCCGAGCTAATTTTCTCATTCCAATCATACAAGGCTCTGCTATAAATTCATTATTTATGGAGTCATAGTAATAATATAAACACTGAATACTGATCTAATACCTATTATAATTTGCCTATGTTAGGAAGATGGGAGAGAGAAAAAGGTATGGGTATTAGTGAAAATGGGGAACAAAATGGAGACTCTTGTCCTTTAGTGGGAAATGAAGAGATGCTGTCTGAATCTGGAAAACCACGTAGGAGCAATATAACCAAGTTATAACAGAGACATGAAAGTAAATATTTTTTTTAAAAAGCTAAAAGAGGTAAAAAATGATTGCCTTTGTGGAAAGATGAAGTGGGGCAACTAATATTTTTCATAATAACCTATGTAGAACTATAAACTGTAGAACTTTAAACTCTATTGAGACAGGTCAGTGAGCCAGGACAAGTAGAACAGGGAAACAGAGACAGATAGCTGATCAAACCGACAGAGCCATTTACAGGAGATACACACCTCCCTAGAGATAACATCTAGGCCTCAGTTGTATTTCAGCTCCAGACCCAGAAAAGCAGCAAAACCAGGTGGGTGAGACCAGGACCAGCTGCAGTGACTAATGACCCCCTGCCCTGACACTGACCAATCAGTGAGGACCACGACCCTGAAGGAGCACACCTAGAAAACTGATGAATATTCTGCTGAAACCCTCCAGAGACCTCCTCTAAGATTCCCACAAGTAAGAGAGAAATAAAAGCCTCAAGACAAAGGACCCAGTGCGCACTCTCCTTCCCAGCAGCATGCTCACAACCCCCACCCCCAGCATGTATCTCCTAGGCTCTAAGGGTCCCCACAAGGCTTGCAACCAGGGTAGCAATGGGCAGTGGCAATTTATCCCAGGCAAACCCCCTGAACCTGTCCCCAAGGCCCCCTTTTTCTCTGACTTCTTTAGTGAGCCAAAGCAGACCAGCCTAGGCTTATTTCCCCAGCCCTTTCTTGTTCCACTGTCCCAAGCTTTTTTTTTTCCCCAATTTTTTTTCTTTATTGATTTTAGAGAGAGAGAGAGAGAGAAACATCGATGAGAAAGAACACTGACTGGCCACCTCCTGCATGCCCCCACTGGTGATTTGGCCCACAACCTGGGCATGTGCCCTGACTGGGAATCAAACTGGCGATTTCTTGGTGTATGGGTCGATGCTCAACCAGTGAGCCACACCAGCTGGGCTCACTCTCCCAAGCTTTAATAAATGTCCTCTAAAATTCACCTGGACTCGTGCTGTGAAACTCTTCCTGCACAAAGTCAAGAACCCACACACTACTGGCCTGGCCCTAAGCAAACCCATTTGGGGCCAGGTCTCCTTTTCGGTAATACTATGTATGTGTAATTTTGATGAACATTTTTTCAGAAGGTCCACAGCCATATGCTCATTTTCTGTTGTTTAAATAAACACATTTTAAGTTCCAGGTTATCTTCATTTCTTAAGCGTATTAATCTTTTTGTGACATGGGATAGCACATTTTACAAATTTAACTAAGATCCAGGAGGCAAAGCAGGTTACCCAAAGATTCACACTGAATTGGCCAATTATCCACTCCATACAAACAGAAAAAAGAATCAGGCCTTTCCAAGAAGATTAATTCACCCACCTGATGAAAGAAGTAGGTAACAGCCAGGTCATTGTCATTTAAGAGGATTTCTTCTTCTGTCGTAAAAAGCCACTTTCGAATGGTCAGGCAGGTGCCTGGCACAGCTGATGTGTAATTCTGGACGTAGAGTTTATGAGGAAATTCATTAGGTGCCAGCTTACGTACTAAAGAGAAGACAAAACAAAGAAAGCTAGAGTGAAAAAATATATAAGAAACTTCCCTAGTATAAACTATAGATAAAATATAAACAGGAAGATCAAGAATGGCAGATTTTCGCCCTGGCCGGTTTGGCTCAGTGGTTAAGAGTGTCGGCCTGAGGTCCAGAGAGACCTGGGTTCAGTTCCTGCTAAGGGCACATCCCTAGGTTGCAGTTTGTCCCCGGCCCTGGTTGGCTTGTGCAGGAGGCAGCCACTCAATGTGTCCCTTTCACGTAGATGTTTCTCTCTCTCTTCCTATCTCTCCCTCCCACTCTATCTGAGCAAAAAATAGAAAAATGTCTTCTGATGAGCATAAAAAAATAAATAAAAAGAATGCCCGATTTTCATTAACCAGAACACTGGCTTAGATCCATCAAGGAGCTCTGCCTTAGGATGGCAAAATAACTATTTGTCTAACCAAATCTATCCCTTCTAATTATGACCATGGCCAGTTGGGCCTCAAACTGACTGAACTCTATCACCTGAATGACCTGCCATTCAGTTAACATGCTGACTCTGCAGATAATACCTACTACAAACTCAATTAAAATATCCGACCCATTATCTGGTAAGTTATAGTAATGTCTACTGAACACTTTTATTTTTTATTTTTTTTAATCCTCATCCGAGGACAATTTTCCATTTTGTTCAGATAGAGTGGGAAAGAGAGAGAGAGAGAGAAACATCGATGTGGAAGGGACACAATGAGTGGCTGCCACCCGCACGACCCAACCAGGGCCGGGGACAAACTGCAACCGAGGTACATGCCCTTAGCGGGAACCAAACCCAGGATCTCTCTGGACCACGGGCTGACACTCTAACCACTGAGCCAAACCGGCCAGTGCTCTACTGAACACTTTTAAAGCAAACCTCTCCTCTTACCTAGCTATGTGCAGAGTCTCTCATGCGGCAATTCTCAATGTTTTTGTTATTGTCAAGAGTTGAAAGGCTCTCCCTACCCCACCCCACAACTCTAAGACATTCATCAAAGTGAAAAGTGTCTTCTGAGTAAAGTTACGTCCTCTTTCTAACAATGCACAAGCAGGATGAAACACTACCAATTTTAATATCTACACTGATTTTCTTTGGAAAGGCTCAGTTTTCTTCTCTTGATGTTTACTTGGCTTTATAACACTGCAAAAGACAGGTTTAATATTTCCTTTTTTTAAATTAGCTAAAGTATAGCAAAGAGGGATAAGATTAGAATCCAAGTGTCCTGGTTCCCTAGCAATTCTTTGTAACATTTCTATCTGCCTAGTTAGACTGTAGGGAGTTGGCAAGATAAAGAATAATAGGGACATGGTCACTTCAAGGGGGATCAAAATTATTCTACATTGACCTGAGACAGCAAGGCAACTCAAGTCTACTGACTCTCCCCCTTTCTGGGATGAGAAAGATCTGATCAATCAATATTATGTCATTTCTGGCCTTAGGGGTGTAAACTATAGGAAATAAACTATTAGGAAATCTATGTCATCCAGGGCAAGCATTCAGACTTCCTCCCCTTTGTGGTCTCAATGCAACCAGTGTGACCAACATCCCTAGCTTTTATGAAATAATAAATAAGACAAGTTTCCTATATTGATATAATAAAATTCCTAGGAAGAGGTTATCTATTTACAAAACAACTTAGATATTCATCAAAGCAATGGTTTTAAAGCAATATATCTAACTCCCGAAAACAAAAAACTATTCTTGAAAATCTACAAAAAGCATAAAGATACTAATATAGTCGCTAAATAGAACAACCCCTCTTTTTAAGGCTGTTTCATTGAACTATATTAATTTTGAGTCTCTGATTTAAAAGAACCTCATGAAAGTATCCACTTCAGCCCTGGGTGCAGGTAACTTATACTTTACAAAAGAGGAAAAAGAATCAACAGTGACTAGATACCCTTTGACTTGGACTTAATGGATTTGCCTGGACTGCTTGTTGGAGACCATCCTAATGAATCAAATCTCCCCTGGGTCTTCGAGCTCTTCTCTAGGCAGACAGTTCTCTAGTCTGACAGATTCTGGGATTTTCAGTCTGACAGTATTAGAACAAAGTACTCCCAAACAAAACTTAATATTAGCCCTGGCCAGTTTGACTCAGTGGTTGAGCGTCAGTCTGTGGACCAGAGACTCCCGGGTTCGGTTCCTGCTAGGGGCATGTACCACCAACAAAAACAAAAACAAAACAAAAAAACCCCCGAACAAACAAACAAACAAAAAAACAACAACTTAATATTAGCCACTGGCACTTACCAAAGGAATGGTTAATCACTTCAAATAAGGCAAAGTAATTCATTGTTGTACTGTCCATGCCAACCTTTGCTGCAATAGCCTAAATTGTAAACAGGATAGATTAGTTTCAAAAGAACTAAATCAGCCAATGCTGTGGAAAAAGACAAATGTATGCATGTGGAGGGGGAAAACAGAGGTTTTGCTGTCTTGGTTTCACATAAACTAAATTCATGGTCTATAGCTATTCATCTTTGTACGTATGTACATGCACCCACACATACGTATGTATGAAATTAAAGGAAAAAAATACCTGTATTTGATCCAAACAGCTATGATCTCGTAAGTATGAGTTTCTCCCCTCTAATTCAAGCTGATAATAGTTTCTCCTTAAATCTATCAGCTTTCCTCTCAGCTCACAAGAGTCTTTTTTTTTTAAATCCTCACCCGAGGACATTCCTCCATTTTTTGTTCATACAGAGTGGGAGGAAGAGAGAGAGAGAAACATCGATGTGAAAGGGACACATCGAGTGGCTGTCACCCACACAACCCAACCAGAGCTGGGGACAAACTACAACCGAGGTACATGGGGGAACTGAACCTGGGTCTCTCTGGACCGCAGGTGGAAGCTCTAACCGCTGAGCCAAACCGGTCAGGGCCACAAGGGTCTTTTTTAACGGCACTTACAAGAAATGTGCTAGATAAGAACAGAACTTAAGAAAAAATAAATTCTTAAATATTCAGTCTTGTATATTCAGCCTACATTTAACATAAGCTATTAACATACAAGATCTATATCTCTGGTCCTGGCTGGTTTGGCTCAGCTGTTAGAGTGTCAGCCTGCGGTCCAAAGAGGCCCAGGTTCTGTTCCCACTAAGAGCACGTACCTCGGTTGCGGTTTGTCCCCGGCCCTGGTTGGTGGTGCGGGTGGCAGCCACTTGATGTGTCCCTTTCGTGTCGATGTTTCTCTCTCTCTCTCTCTCTTCCTCTCTCTTCCTCCCACTCTGTCTCAACAAAAAATGGAGGAATGTCCTCAGGTGAGGATAAAAAAAGATCTATATCTCTGGTTCTTGAGCTTAAAATACTGTTTATCAATTTTGTTCACACTTCACAAGTTATTCTTGTTTATTTTTCAGATAATCTGTGTCTCGAGCTGGGGACCTCCATTTCCTAAGAATCACCATGATCAATATAACATAAAAATAGCAAAATTTTGGGACAACAGAGGCATTTTAAACAAGGGTCAGTCCTTCTCTCTAGGAAGTAAGGTCCTAATACGACAAATACAAAAATAAAATAAAAAAAGACTTCATGTGCAAATAAATGAAAGTGAAATTATATATAAATAACAACAAAACACAAAGCAAAAAACACAAACTAGTAATACCAAAATTCCTTTTCATGCTCAATCCCCATATAAATAAGGTGGTTAACTGAACAAGACAAAATTATTGGATGTTAATGTCTTAGTACACCAAATATTATATCCTTCTTCCCAACTGCTCACATATCAGACCTAGGTTTATTCCTGACATGAGAGAAGAACTGGAGATTATCAGTGTTCTAACTTACTATTCTTTACTATTCTATACTATCCTGAATAGAAACTGAAATGCTCTCAAGGTTTGGAAAATGGGTTATAGCTAGAAGTCTCAGTAACAGGGTGAGGGGGAAATATGCAAATACATTAAGCCTTGCTAGAGAAATAGAAAGAAAAAAAACAACCATCAGCACCCTGGCAGGTTTGGCTCAGCGGTACAGCGTCGTCGCCAAGGGCATGTTCCTTGGTTGTGGTTCGTCTCCAGCCCTGGTTGGGGTCATGTGGGAGGCAACCAGTCGATGTGTCCCTCTCATGTCGATGTTTCTCTCTCTCTCCCTTTCTCTCCCTCTCTCTCCCACTCTTTCTAAAGATAAATGGAAAAATATCCTCAGGTGAGGATTAACAAAAAAAAAATTAAAAACAAAACAAAAACATCAGCAAGTGATAAAATTAACATTTTCCTTACAATCATCCCACCATTTTATAATCTCAGAAATATCTCAGATCCTACACATATCCTTTGCACTCGTATACAGTATATGAATATATATAAGAGATAGATTTTTTTGTTTGTTTGCTACAAAGGAGAAATAAGCATTAATATCCAGAAACCTGCTAGTCTCCCTGAAAATCCTGATCAAATCAGGACTGAAGACCAACGAAAAGGCCTAAAAGCAACAATTATACCCATCACTCAGATATCCAAGTACCATTTCTCACTGAAAGGAAACAGGACTCCTTAGAGAAATGGCTGATTCTAGATCTAGCATAGAAAATATACAAAGATGAGCCCCAAATATCTTTTTATACCAAAAAGCAAGGATGTTATAAACAAATAGGCTGCATCAAAAGAATACAGGAGCAGACAATGGAGGAGCTCCCATTAGTCAAAGATGGAAGAATCTGAGCATCACAAAGATAATACATTCATGCTGAATATCTAAAAACCCACATAACACTAACAAAATAAAATAAAATAATCTCATTGGACATCATTGGAATCAACTAGGGCACCAATTCTTAACTCTGAAAATTGGCAATATAAGGAAAGAAATATTTATCTTTCCCTTATCAAAAACTATATTTCAGGATAACTAAATACCCATAGTTGATAAGGAAAAGTTCTTTACAGAATAATTCTAGTTAGGAGATGTGAAGAAATAAGAAAATTTAAAAATCAACACTTTGCCCTGGCCAGTTTGGCTCAGTGGTTGGAGCGTCAGCCTGTGGACCAGAGAGTCCCAGGTTCGGTTCCCGCTAAGGGCACGTACCAAAAAAAATTAACTCTTTGCAACCCTTAATGAAGCCACTGGTTAAAGGAGCAATAATCAGTGATATGCTCATTTGATAAACGATCAATGGAGAACGTTACAATGGTGAGATTCGTTTATCACCACCTAAACCTACTGATACTGTATTCCTCCTGGTGAGAAGCAATATGAAGTAGCTAGCATCGATTATGAAGTATTCTTATCAAAATAGCTGAACCTGGATCTAATCAAGCCTCTAGAGCAAATGTCCACTTATAAAACATATAAGGAGACAGAAAGACATACTAAATGACACAAATATATAAAAGAAACAAACAGCCCTGGTTGGTTCGGCTCAGCGATTAGAGCCTGTAGACCAGGGGGTTGCGGGTTCGATTCTCAGTCAAGGGCACATACCTGGGTTGCAGATTCAATCCCCCACCCAGTTGGGGTCATGTGGGAAGCAGCCAGTAGATGTGTCTCTCTCACATCAATGTCTCTCTTTCTCTCTCTCTCTCTCTCTCCCCCTCCTTCCATCCCTCCCTTTCTCTCTCTCTAAAAATCAATGAAAAAATATCCTCAGGTGAGGATTAACAAAAAATAAATTTTAAAAATATGCATTCTTATTTTTAAAAATAAAATAAAAGAAATGAATAAATTCTGAATATGGGACATTCCACAGGACACGGACCCAGTTTCTGCAATGAAACAATGATATGGAAAAAAAGTTGGGGAAGGGAAGAGAGACTGCTCTATTTTAAAACAAACATAAAAACCAAATGTGATATATTTAGATCCAGTTTTTAACCAACCAACTATAAAAATATTATTTTTTGATAACTGGGAAAATTTGACTGTTGATTTGTTAATAGTTAATATCAAAAAAGTATTGTTAATTCTTAGGTTTGTTAATGGCTTTGTGGTTATGTAAGAAGAATGTTTACATTTTTTAGAGATGTATACTGAAATACACACAGGTCCAATAACATGAAATTTGCTTTAAAATATTCAAACAGAAGGGGGAGATATCTAGAGCAAATGTGGAAAAATCTTGATGACTATGACGTAAGTCGTGAACAGACAGAGGTTCATTGTACTATTCTGTTTTCGTGTACATTATAAAGTTTTTACAACTAAAGGGTCAAGGGGGCTAATCAGAACCGCCACTACCTGGGCATTTACTGTACCTTTCTTTTAAGGAGGACAAACAATACTAGCTAACATTTAATAAACTTATTTGCCAGATACTCCAAGCACTTATATGTGTTAACTTGTTTAATCTATCTTCTTTAGTTCTAAACAATGCAATGTCAAGTTTACTTGTTCAAATTTACTTTACCTGATATACTTGGTCTGTAGTACTGTTCTTTTTAACCCTGACTGTAACCGTTGTTCCATCTGGTAATGCTACTCTCAGCTCTACATCAGACACACCATTGTAATTCTGGGGAGAAGGCACAGAAAAAGAATTTATGAACCAGAATATCCTCATTCTCCTTATAACATGCTAGCTAAACAACAACCTAAACATGTGATAGAAAGTGAGTTCCAATGAAAAGGGGAGAAAAGATACCTTATAAATCAATATATTTATAAGTCATTAAGCTGACTTTAGGGTGCAGAAGTTAACCTTTAAGATGAACAGGGAGAAAAGAAATATGTTGAAGCCAAAATGTTCACATTTAAAAACAGAAAACTTATGTGAAACAGACTAGGGCAATCACAGATAAGATTTTTCACTTATTTTCAAACATTCAGAACTCACAAATAAGAAAAAAAGACAACTGAAAGCAGTAGTTCCAACCAATATTCTCTGGCTTAATATGGTTAGGCATGTTATATTGGCTCAAGTAGCATCCTAAATTCCTTTCTAAATCCTGAAATAATCACTTTTGCAAGGAAAATTGATGAAACTCAGAAATCTGAGTTAGTCTGATGCCCAATTTTCTTCTAGCAAAGAGTAAACAATATTTATCCTCCATAATTCAAAAGAAATCATTCACTCTCACTGCTTTTGATGATTAACACATTCCTCTTAACAGATTTCTGACCTTGTAATTTTTATTAGAGAGTAACAACTATTTAAGAACAAGTCCATCTTCATTTACCACTTTTTTAAAAAGTACTATTCAATGCCTAAAACCATCCTAAGCATTACTTTGTTATAAGCCCTCATCTGAAATAAACTTAGAATCTAGTTGGGAAAATAAGACATATACATACAAAATAATCAGTGGATAACACACTATTAATACAGTAGCATTACATATTCATTCTTCTACCAGTTAATATTTATTAAGCACCTATAATATGCTTGACATGTGATAAGACACTGGGAATAAAAAGATGATCAAGATTTAGCTCTTGTTCTAGAGATCTCTTGTACAGCATGGTGACCACAGTTAACAGTACTATACTGTATACTGAAATTTGCTAAGAGGGTAGGTCTTAAGTGCTTTCACCACAAAAGGAAGGAAGGAAGGAAGGAAGGAAGGAAGGAAGGAAGGAAGGAAGGAAGGAAGGAAGGAAGGAAGGAAGGAAGGAAGGAAGGAAGAAAGGAAGGACGGACTGCTAATTAGCTTGATTGTGGTGATCACAATATATACACACATTAAAATAGCAAGTTGTGTACCTCAAATATATACAATTCCTATTTGTCAATTATACCTCAATAAAGCTAAAAAAAATATTTAACTCTTACCTACTGGTAGCTCACATTAAAAATATAAAGAAATAATCTGATTATATGTATAAAAAATTAAGAGAATGAGATACCAACAAAGTGATAATTAAGTGGTACTGACTGCAAAAATTCCTGGGGGAATAACAAAATCAATGACATCAGTAACAGGGAAGACTTCAAAGAGAAAGTGGACCTAGCACTAGGTCTTAAAGGATAAGGAAAACATAAAAAAAAAAAAAAAAAAAAAAAGACTGAAAAAATAGACATCTGCTATAATTGATATCTTTATTTTCCCCCACAGTGAGCCAAGAGGTAAACATTCACTGTAGGGGTAGTCACTTACCTCGTCTGATTCTGACAGGAATTCCTGCATGATGTCACTCTCACCAATGACTCGTATTGAACACACTGTAGAAAACAAAGATAGAATATGGCACAAAGCTCAAAAATCAAGAATATAAAGCCAAGTACTTGTCAAGGTTTAAGTGTAAAACATTAGTACCAGGCAATGCTGAGGTAGTATGTCATCCCTAACATATGATATTTTAAGACACAAGAAATATTCATATAAATATGAACAAGAACAGAGGAGTAATAGAATGTACAAAAATATAGCTTGCTAAAAATATTGAACATAGCCAAGGAAGTCACAAAAAAAGAGAAATTAAAGTTCAGTAAATTTAACTTTGTAGTCTTGTGTGAACTATTAACGAGCTAGACAACAGAGCAAGGGCAAGGTCAATTACAAATAAGCCAAACACAAAATTGAAATACATAAGGAAAAGCATCTATTTGGCCTAGGATCAGGCCAGCTAGAGAACTATAAACATTTAAAGCCATTTGGGCCCTGGCCGGTTTGGCTCAGCGGTTAGAGCGTCGGCCTGCGGTCCGGAGAGACCCAGGTTCAGTTCCCGCTAAGGGCATGTGCTTCGGTTGCAGTTTGTCCCCGGCCCTGGTTGGTCGTGCGGGTGGCAGCCACTCGATGTGTCCCTTCACGTCGATGTTTCTATCTCTCTCTCCCTTCCTCTCTCTCCCTCCCACTCTATCTGTACAAAAAATGGAAAAGTGTTCTCGGATGAGGATAAAAAAAAAAAAAAAAAAAAGCCATTTGGGGGGATATGGGTAGGTAGTTAATTATTAAACTGAGCACATCTTCTCACCTCATAATTTGAGCTTTAAAACAACAACAAAAAGAAAGGAAAGAAGGCAGTAGGAAAGCAGACAGGTGGGTAGCTAATCGTCTAAATCTAAGCAAGCTAATTTCCTGACACCCTCATAAGCATGTCAAGTTACACTGATGATTTTACTTTATTTTATTTAAAAAAACTGTACACTTCTCATTTCCAAAGGGCTGTGTTTAGAGGCCATTCCCTGTTAGAAAAAAGCTAAAAACAAATGAGGTTTCACTACTTCTACAGGGAAAATAATTTTTCTTCAGGGATAAAGCTCTTTGCCAAAGTTTAAAAAAAATTCAACTAGGTCAATTAGTTCTCACACAAAGACACAGAATTACCAAATACCACATAAGACCATTATTCTATTAAATTAGTATTTTAAAGAAAAGCCTATTGCTCAGCTAGCAAAATATGTTAACGCTATAATGTAGCGAAGTAAGGTCTTCTCTGAGCCACAAAATAAACTTTTTTTTTTTTTCAGGATATCTGTGTCATTTCCCCCAACTTTCTAGATAAACAAGTGCTTCAGCATCTACATTCACAAATTCCTTATGTACTGTTTGGAAGTCGTTTCAAAACTTCTACCTATAACCTGCCTATAACAAGGGGACTTTAGATTTCCTACAACTCAGCAAACCTATCTATGGACACGTAAGAGGAATGAGGAGTTTTCAAGGAGGATATGCCAGTGATACTCCCACTTAGTTCCCAAATCAATTCAGTATGTTGTTGAGTCAGTCTGTATGTGTTTGCTGGCAAATAATATAACCCTATAAATAAAGGTCTTTAATGCCAAAACTAATTATGTATTTTTGTCTTTTGTTATTATGTGTTCAGTGAGTCAATAAAATAGGCTATTAATCACTGTACTGGACATTTCGGTCTTGGCTTCAAAGCTCAGATTATTCAACACCTATAGTTAGAAATTTGACTTACTTTTACTACTGTGTTTCATGAAACTTATGCAGTTTTTCATGAAACTTAGTTATGCAGTTTAGGATTTGCAACATCTACCTAGACCCTATGTCTACTCAAGATAGTAGAGTTTAATAGGCTAGCTTACCTTTTTCTAGATATTCTTCCAAACCTCGTCGTCGGGCATCTAATTGCTGCTCTGATAAAGAGAATGGCCACTTCCCTGGAAGTCGGGGAAATGTAAAGTTGGCAAACTCTCTCTTCAGGTTCTGGTGTAGGATGGCAAACTCCCGGTACCGCTTAGAACATAGCTGCCTCCCTGCCATGTAAACATTGTATACCTGGTGGGGGAAGAACAAAAAAAGCCTATTTACTACAAATTAAATCACAGAATCATCAAAAGTCAGGCTCAGAATGATATTGGTGAGGTATATTCTGCTACAGAGAAATGTTCAAGGTCATTGTAAATTTAAGACTTATTTTTAATAAATATGCCCAATATTATATGTATAAAAGAGGACTACTCCCTTCAAAGGGGCCATAATCTTATTTTTGTTAATAAAATTACCTCCAAAACACTTTTAAATATCTTCAAAAGTGCCCTGGCCAGTTTGGCTCAGCGGTTAAGAGCGTTGGCCCGAGGACGAATGAGTCCCAGGTTTGATTCCGGTCAAGGGTATGTATTTCAGCTGCAGTTTGTCCCCAGCCCTGGTTGGGTGGTGCAGGAGGCAACCAGTCGATGTGGCTCTATCACGTGGATGTTTCTCTCTGCCTGTCTCTTTCCCTCCCTCCCTCCCACTCTATCTGCTGATAAGCAGAAAAATATCCTCAGGTGAGGAATAAAAACAATCTTCAAAAGCAATTATGAGCTCTAAAGGCAGATGTTATTCTCAGAAAGTTAAAAGTCATTCAAAGACAATGTGGTAAATACTGTGAATGAACAAGCATGCAAATTTGGAGAGAGATGTAAAAAGCTAGGGTTAATTTTAAAGTAATGTAATCACTGATAATTGTGTGTGGCCCAAACTTTCAAAGAAAAGGTCTAAAGATGATATAAGCAATAGTGGCTTTTTTGTTAGATTTTTTTGTTAAAAACTCCTTTCCTGAAGTCAGACATCCCTAGCTTTGTTCATCATTAAAACAGGGTTAACAAAAAAATTAAAGAATACATGAACTCTAAGGACCTCCTCGTAATAATAAAGTTATAATCCTCATGAAGAAACCAGCAGAAATTTTTGTCTACTATTCACAGAGACATGCCAAGATTCTAGCACAGGACCTGGCACATAGCAGGCACTCAGCAAATATTTGATGAAGACATGAATGTGTGCATGTGCAATTCCTGAATATGTGCCCTTATAAAGGAAAGTGGTATAATATGTAATCGAAAAACATCAAATAATCCAACTTACTTTGTATTCTTGAACATATCAAATAATGCAGAGATGGGAATTTTAGTCCCAAATCACATTACTGGCTTAGCAAAAATCATTCCGAATTTTAAATGTATTCACAAAACAGGTCATCTATTCATGTAATCAAGAGTTCATCATTGAGAATGTATAGGCCAAAGCCTTTCCTTCAAGCTCAGGAAGAACTTTTTCCATGCTTCTATGCATAAATTAAATAAAAAAATAAAATAATTTATTCATTCAAAACTCGTTTTCCCACAACTCTCCTCCTATAACCCCTCCCCAAATTAAAAGCAAAGCCTCTAATCACTATCAAATGGCCTTCAGGGATGTATATGATCCTGATCAATGAGTTTTCTTCCTGTGATTATCACTCAAATTTATCACTGCTTGCTAAATTACAAAAGCATAAAAGAGAAAATGGTCTTCCCCTCAGACAAGACTACATATTCCCTTAAGGGCAGGTGGTCTCAAGAAGTCTTATTCAGTCTATCTGGTCTCAATAACATCACCATTCCTTTGCTTAAAAAGCAAGTCCACAGCCATATTGGTATTATAAATCAGCCTGCGTTCCTCACACAAGGAAGGAAGGTAGGTAAAACTAGCTAACGGAATTGCTGGTTCAAAGATATTCTCCAATGTCTTTTTCCAAGGTAGATGGAGTACAGTAGTTCTTTGACAAGCTAGGAGAACTACAGCTGCATTTCCTCCATGGTGCTCACTTGAGTGATCTTCAGTCCAGTAAAACATTTCGTAGGGTGGAAGAACCCTACAACTTGAGAGGCCTTTGTGACAACTTCAACAACAAATTCTAAAATTTGATTCAACTTTCAGTTTCTTTATAAGGTGAGAAGAGTAACATCCAAGAGTCCCTCAGCCACCCATTTAAATGTGATGTGAAGTCAAAGGGAACAGAAATATACATATGATGCTTGGTATAGATATAATCATTTAAAAAGAAAAAGAAAAAAAAAGACTGCTTCATTTAGTCTCTGCTGAGGTCCTCTGCCTAAAAACCATGAATATACATGGTCCATGAGAAATGAGTCTCACTACAAATGAGAATGTCCATCTAAAATATATTCTCTGGCCCTGGCCACTTTGGCTCAAGGGTTAGAGCGTTGGCCCACAAACCAAAGGGTCATGGGTTCAATTCCAGTCAAGGGCATGTACCCGGGTTGTAGGCTCGATTCCCAGCCCCAGTTGAGGTCGTGCGGGAAGCAATCAACTGATCTGTCTCTCTCACATGAATGTTTCTCTCTCTTCCCCTCCCTCCCTTCTACTCTATCTAAAAATTAATGGAAAAATATCTTTGGGTGAGGAATATACACACACACACACATTACATACATATATATATACACACACACACATACACACACACATATATATTCCCCCCCCCTGGACTTGAAGGATAACATAATCAAATATGAATTAATGATATATACCTAGTAGTCAGTGCTTCTGGGATCTTTCTATCTTAATTTAAATCCTCAGACTTGTTTGCTCACACATGGAATTAGATGAATGTAGTCTAACTTGTGAGAGTACACTGAATTTAACACGATCACTGGTCATTCTTCTCCAAATGACCATATCCTACAAAAACTTCCAAGTTGGAATATTTACACTGCAAAGCCAGCTGTCTGAGGGTAACGAGTTTCAGGTCTCTTGACATACACTTTGATGAGTTAGACCCCAATAAATGAAATGGAATTAATAATGGGTGGGGAAAACGTAAAGCTTATCTGATTAGTGATATAGTTTTGTCTCTGTATTCTGCAAGGCAAGCTACAAAATTCATCTTTGAAATAACTTCTAAATTTCTCAATATGTAAACATTGAAAATCGATGCCATGCTACTTCTCTCTCTATCCTCATGACTTAGTTCTATGGAATGAATGCCAGAAGATGTAACTGACACATTCCTTTTTTTAAAAAATGTTTTTATTGATTGATTTTATAGAGTGAAGAAGAGGGAGAGAGAGAGAAGAGCTTTTAAATGGTAATCTATCATTTTATGTAGGCTCTAAATATTACAGTGTTCTCATTTTCTCAAACTTCTAGTAACCAACCCACAGGAGTTGTGCTACTGAACACATAGAAGAGAATCTCCTTATACAATGCAAAAGTAATTAGAAAAAAAGTAGAATGATGACATTTTGGCTATGGCAATATCACCCAAGTTCAGCTTCCCAATGTCAAATAGACATTGAACTGGTTCATGATATCGATCTAGATCAATCTTCTTTGTACATATGATCAACAAACTGTTTCCAATGCCACCCTGCTTATTCATCTTGTTTTTAGCTAAAAATTCACCTTTAAAAGGATTCAATTTGCTATTCACAAACTGCTTATGATACCAACAGGAAATCTAGCACTCAGCTGATTTCTGGGTGTAATCCATGAGATCCTTAACTAAGGGATTCTTCCCAGATGCTAAAGAATTTAGACTCCTTCTTGGAAAGAAAAAAGCATAAAGGCAACAACGTGCTTTTAAATAACTCAGGTTTATCATGTGTGCATGTGTGTTTTCCCTAATGTGACTCATAAATGGTCTCTATAACTTTTCTTTTTCTTTACTTGGACCTCTGGTGTATAGAACTAGATTAATCATAATCCTTTGTTCATAACAGTCTCCTTATGATGAGCTCTTTGTTTGAATATCTGATTAGTTATTTTTAATCTTGTAAAAAGTAAACTAAAAGCTAAGACTTTGACAGTAACTTATTTCTAACCATACAGTCTGCCTCCTTCATCTCATCTCCCTGTTTCCCTAACCCCTCCCCTCAAATGATCATACTCAACCACATTCATTCTTCTCTTGCTTTTCCTTTTATACTTTTTTCCCTGTATTTATATATAACCCTTGAAATTTTATTTTTTATTTTAATTTTTAAAGGGTATTTTAGTTTTATACAAAGGTTATCTTACAGAATGATACCTTTTGGGATTTATTTTTTTCACTTAGTCTTATCCACAGTGTAATATATCTTTGTGGTTTATTCTGTTGTATATAACACACTATTATTTTGCTCTCTAAACTCTGTTCTCCCATTGATGGGCATTTGGGTTGTTTCTGAGTTTTTACTATTGTGAATGCTGCTGCTATGGATATTTGTATGCAAGCCTCCTGTTGTACATGTGTAAGAGATTCTCCTAGGTATATACCTAAGAGTGAAACTATAGACTAGTCAGTCTAAGGAGATAACACCAACCTGTAAGCTAAAGTAGTTGCATCAATTTATACTCCCTTCAGTAATATTAAAAAGATCCTTTTAATTTTTGCCAGTGAAATGGGTGTGAAAAGATTTCTCACTGTGGTCCTAATTTACATTTCCTTAATTACTACTAATGTTGACAATCTCTTCATGTTAGTATCCTTTTCTGTAAAATACCTTTTCGTATGTTTTGTCCACTGTTATATTGAGTTTTTGTGCTTTGTTCATTCATTTGCAGAGCTCTTTATATGTTCTTCATTTAATCTTTTCATTTGTGCGTATTGTGAATAACTCTTCCTAGTATATGTCTCCTCACTTTAAAGTATCTTAATTTTTTAAAATTAGTCCATTTCAAAAGTCTAATTTATCAATACTTTTATAACCAATGCTTTCTGTGTCTTAAGAAAGTTTTGCTATCCCCAGAATATAAAAGCTCTTCACCTATACTTTATACTAAGAGCTTTAAATTTTTTGTCATTTAAGTACTTAATTCATTTGGGACTGATTTTTCTATAGAGTATGAAGTATAGAGTTCCACTGGTATTGCTTTTAAAGCCAAGAATATTTCAAATCAAATTTTAATTAAATTACCCCCAAAAATAAATATTCTACTTTGATAGGGCAATCTGGGAATTTCTGGATGGTCTGTAATTAACCTCCCACTGTAAACAACTAGAAAACTGGATACAGTACAGGAAACAACTA